CCACTTCATATCAGTGGGAAATGTTAGCCAGAGAAGATGTAATGAGACACTTTCCTGGAGGTTAGCATCAGCCATGCTGATGGAAGGCAAAAAAGTTCTCCAAGACAATTTAAAGAGAGCAGTTTCATTTTGGTGGACTTAAAATTAACAAATTGTTTCTTACTCCAGTTAACAACAGATTGTAGGTAATTTTTGAAAGCAGCTGCTTATTGAATTGATCAGATTTGCCCTTACAACAAGAGTAAATAGTTATGTCATCAGCATAGGTACCAAGTTGAGAATTGATGATATTGGGAAGGTCATTGATGAAAATTATTAATAATGAAGAGCCCTAGATGACATCTGCATTAATGCAAAGAAATTTAGGAGATTGGCTGTTCAAAACAACTTTCATTTCGCAATTTGATATGAAAGATTCAATGAGATCAAAAATTCGTCCAGAGATACCATAACCTTTCAACTTGTGAAGAAGACCAGTATGCCAAACCCTGTCTGTCTTTTGAAATATCCAAAGCAACAGCTTGAGCTTCACCATTCTTATAAAAATTTTGATAAACTCTTTCAACAATAGCCATTAATACATTAGCATTTAACCTAGAGAGGTCACTTTATCCAGTGTTGTCTCCATTGATAAAAGCATTCCTGGTACTTCTTTTTTGGGATAGCAAATAGCTGCCTTGTCACATTCTCTTGGATTTTGTTGATATTTTTTTTAAGACAATTCACCTCAACCCAGGCAGGAGTGCCACTAGCACGCCAGGGATTACAGAGGATTGCTAACAAGAGTAAAGAGGTGTATTTGAGGAAAGGATACAGAGAAGGACAGGGAACAAGCTCCGGGTATCAGATGTCAATTGACATTACACTTGAATATTTGAAGATTATAGTCATTGGGGAAGCAAGTAAGAGGAAGGTAGTTCCACAGATGGGAAGTGTGGGAAAAGAAGCTGTTTGAAAAAGAGTTACATTTAACTTTGACAGTGAAAGGGTGGGACAGAGATGCCAGCTTGGCAGTTTGTTTAAATTCATGTTTGGGAATCTGTGAAAGTAGCTCATCAGAACAGTTGCCATGAAAATATTTGTAGAAGAGACAGAGAGAAGTCACAGCACAACTGTGGGATAGCAATTGTAGGCTAGATGCCAGATCAGGACCTATCATCTTGCATATTCATCTCTGGATTTTGTCAAGGACCTCGAGATGTACAGCAAGAGCAACAGACCATATATGACAGCAATATTCCATGCAAGGACGGATAGTTGATTTATAGATTTGAAGGATGGACACAGACGAAAAAACTTTCTGGCATGACATCTTGAAATCTTGTTCCTTTCAAATGGGATTTGATTTTTGAAGAGGAATAATTTGCAAGGAGAATATGGTGGTTGCCAAACCAAGGGAATGTTGTCCTTGACTAAAAACTGCTGCACAAGTCATGGTCACTGATGGAACCTCTGTGGTGTGATGAAATAACCACACTCTACACACTTTCTTTCCAAGCACTGCTATAAACAATGGAAATGAGCGAGAACATTATAATTGTGTATGCACAACAAAGTTCAAGGTCAATCTGTGCCAAGTGGCTTCACTTTGCAGTTTTTAACTCCATTACGATAACAATAATCCTGATACCTTTTGAACAGACATCATATATATCATATTTATGATGTATTTTGCATTTTATGCAAATTTTATTGTATCAAGTTTCCCTGGAAACCAACAAAGCCAGATATTCAGAAGAAAAAATGTCTCTGCTGCCATATCTATTAGTTGAATCTATAGACTCCCCGTAGAATATAAAAACACCATTTCACCTCACTATGGAGGGCTGCTGTGTTTTCAATAGCATACAGATTTTACGGATTTGTGTTGCTAACCCTACACAACTGGTATAAATAGTTCCAATTTTTATATCCTTTTCTAAATATTATCAGTCAGTTACTGTTATCAAAACTACACAGTCCCAAAGATTGTTCTAATAAGTCAAATATGTAATAATTTCAAGTTAATTAATTTCACACTAATTTATATATAATGCAAAGTCATTTATAATGATGAGTATAAATTATTGAAATTTGTATATATATTAATTTTCATATTTAACCTATAGGCTGAGTGAGGAAAGATGGATTCATAACTTTCCCTAGGGTATTTGTATGAATCCACTTTCAATGCTTCACATTATCATATGTAGATAGCTTATAAATTGAATATGAATTTAGTAAAATTTAGAAAGAAATTTGACCTAAAACATAGGTAAATAAATATGTTACATTGTCTTATAAAAAAAATGATGTGCATGTTGTGGTTATCAGTAAAGATAAGGAATTAGCATGTTCTGTTCAAATTTCAGCCAAAGTTGTTGCATTCACTTTCACACATATACTCTTGGAAAGGTATAAATCCATCTCTTCCTCCTCCCTGCATCTAGAGATTAATAGCAGAACATACTGGGCTGTCTAGCTTTGGTTGGCAACTAGTCTAGGAGAAGGACAACTCTGAATTCAAAACAGGTTGGGAATAGGACCAATAATTCTATCCTGTAGAAAACCTATTTGCAACAGAAACCATAGCAGTACCTTCAGTGGTGAGGCTGTGGCTCTGTAACTTACAACAAAGTCTACATGGTTCACTACATACTAAAAAACATACTACAGATTTAAAAAAAAAAAATTGATTTTGTGGGTTGCTTAAAACATTTTACTCTCTTCTTATGGTGACAATAATAAAATCATCTATAAATTTATGATTTGAATAATGGCTCCTGATAAAGCATTAGGGAAAATACAGGTATTTTTTTTAATCATTTCACCCTAAGCAAGGTGATAATGCCACTAAGATGCAAAGGTTTACTGAGAGTGAAAGAAAATGAGAAAACACTAGTAAGGAGAAAGGACAATAAAAGAACAGATTTCAGGAAGACAGAAGATAGTGATGAACAATTCACTTAAATTTTTGACAGTCATAAGAGACAGAGATGCAAGAAACTGGAAGAGAGTTCCACAGGTGAGAAGTGTGAGAAACGAAACTATTAGAAAAGAACTTATGACTATTCTAGCTGTTTCAACAGTAAAATAATGAGACCTATTTGCCAATCAAGTTGTACACTGGAATTCTTGGGATTAAAGTACCAAAGAAGCTCATTTAAACAATTGCCATGAAAATATTTATAGAAAAGATAGAATTTCAGTAATGGGAAAGTGACTGAGGTTGAGATGACAGGTCAGGACCAATAACATTGCAGATTCTTCTTTGTATTTTATCTGGAATCTCTAAATACATAGCAGAAGCACCAGCCCACATGTGGTGGTAATATTCAATGCAAGAATGAATGGTAGACTCATTTCTTTTCATGTGATTTTGATTTGAGTATATAGATGGAATGCATTATCTTCCTACTGTGGGAAGGTGACCAAAGTAGAGATAACAGGTCAGGACAATATAGATCCTTCTTTGGATTTTGTTGAGAATCTCAAGACATATAGCAGGAACACCAAACCAAATATGACAGCAATATTCAATGCCCAGAAAAACAAATTATTACATAAGCAATCTCTGGGGCTAGTACAATGCTGCCTTGTAAAAGATGGCTTAGAAATTGTGAAATATATATAGTGGATTTTATCAAGCATGTCACAATCCTGATCCCAACATTAAGAGAACTTAACCTAAAAGAAATTGTCTTTAGTTGTAGAGTAGAAGCAAGAACAAAAAACATTAAATATAAATGTTTAATAAAAAAAGGTAAAGATGGACAATAATTCATGCAGCAAATTTATTGAATCATTTTTGTGTTTTGTTTTTTTGTTTTTTTTCATTATAATCTAAGTGGAAGAAAGAATAAAAGGAGAGTTGTTAATTAAAAAAAAATATGGAAAAATAAAATTGAGGCTCATGGGTAATGTGTGTCATAAAGAGGAACTAACTAGGAATGAACTTGAAGAAAACAAGAAGGAAATGAAATTTATCTTGTTAACTGAATCAAAAACTAGATCCGATCTTCCTTAAACAACGTCAGCTTTGTGAATTAGTTGTCAAATTAGAGATTCCAGATTGGATGCCATGAATAGCTTAACAAGAGAGAATCTAATATATAAACTGGAAATAATTGCGATTAGAAATGCTTTATTTGTGAACTATTGAGCAGAGCATGTATATCATGCTGGAGAAAATGGGGAGAATAAAAAAAAGCATTCTTTTCAAAGAGGATTCTGAGAAATGATAACTTTAATAGTCATTTCGAAATCAAATCAGTATTATAATCTTGTTTCACGGTGTTGTCTTCTCCTATTCCTGCTGCTTCTTGAACTGAAATGTGGCTAATAACATTTCAAACATCGGTCAGTTGTTTGCAAAGATTTTTATCGTGATCTGTAATTCAATTTCTGATCTTAAAAAGAAAGCTTAGTGTAATTATACTCATTACCTTTGACTAATCATGGTTTTGCTATCTGTCTCTTTAGTTCATTAGATTACAATTTTTTTTTTTTTACTGTGACTCACATTTTTGAATAAGCTGTAAAAATTGACAGCACAAATTTAAAAAAAAAACTAATAACCTGTGATATTAGTAAGATTTTGGAAACCCTAAACATATTTTAGATGTACATGTTCAGAAAGAAAAGCAGAAGAAAAAGTTGCTAAGAATGTTAACATGTACATTGAGCTATTTATTTTGTCTGTTTGATCGACTGTTTTATTTGTTTTCCACAGCTTATTGATTGATTTATTTGTTTTCTACAGCTTATCAATCCTTTCCAGGTTATTTAAACCCCAAAATATTTTTTGATTGTAATAATTTTTTGTGGGATGAAGAACAATAATGGTTTTGTGATACAAGTCTTACTAATTAACCCATAGCTGAGGGCAGAGGAGGTGGATTCATACCTTTCTCAAGGGTATATATCTGTAAGTGAATATAACAAACCCAACAAGAATTGGATTTTGGCACTCTGATTAAAAAATCTGAGTCATTATCTATTACGCCAACTGTACATCCAAGCATACAGCTGCTGATATTCCCAGGCTGTCACCCTTCTAGGTACTGACCAAGCTCAATGTTGCTTAACTTTGCAGATTGTATGAGAACTGATGTTCCAACATGATGTGGCTGTAAGCTTGTGTGTTAGAGTTAGAAATGCAATACCTACAGTTTGTGGCATTATATCAACTGGGTTTACATATGATAATTTCAAATATCTGAGGGTGTATTGGGATAGTGAAAGATAATTTTGAAAAGCTAAGCAAAGTAAAAGAAAAATTTCACTAGAATCAAAGAAACGAGTAATGAACTATTATGTAATATCAGCCCTCAATCTCCACTCAGATGAAAAGAGACGAAGCAACAGAAATGTAGTTCTACAGAAGGATGTTGAGAATACCATGGATGTATCATTTGAGCAACAACAAAATTTTAGAGGCTAAAAAGAATCAGGACATTTAAACTTAACATCATAAAGAGACAGTTGAAATTTCTGGGGACACATAATGAGGAAGGAAGGCATGGAAAATCTGATACTCACAGGTCAGATTGTAGATAAGCAGAACTGAGGAAAACAATACATAACCTACCTAGCAAGCTTGAGTAAATGTATGGCGGAAAAAGGTTTATTAAATTTATTAAGAGCTACAAAGGACAAGAAATTGTGGAGAGCCATGATCACTAACGTTCTAAAGGAACATAGCATATAGAATCCCACATTGCCATGTAGACATCAAATAATCCTCATTTCCTTTGTATTCCATTAGTAAGGAGTTAATTCCATTCGAACATCTTCTTCTCCAAGAACAGTTATTTTGTGGAACAGAAACTAAAGAGAATAGTTCCTTGATTCACTACAATGCTAACCTCTTCAAGTTTAAGGTTAACTGTTATTTACTTTCAAAAATGTCATTTAGTAACACTCTATCTTGAGTGGTTCTTAGGCTTTTTTTGGGTGAACGATACTAAAATAAAATAGTTGAAATTTCTAAGGCACATAATGAGGAAAGAGGACTTGGAAAATTTGAAACTCACAGGAGAGTTTGAAAGCAAAATAGACAGCGGAAAACAATGCATAACCTACCTAGTGAGCTTGAGTAAATGGATGGTGGAACAAGGTTTATAAGAGATAACAAAAGGTAGAATTTATTAAGAGCTAAAGACAGCAGGAAATTGTGGAGAGCCATGATCGTCAACATCCTGAATGGCATATAGAAGAAGATTTTTAAATAGGCAGTATCTTAACTTTAATCTGATAGAATTATATTTCTGAATATTTATACATATGCTGAAGATCTATACATATATTATAAGCATATGGATATCCCATAGATAGTAAACCTGTTGTTGAGGATTACTTTTTAGTGATGTTATGTTTCTACATATATTGAAGAAGGTTTGGAGAAATAGATAAGATGACATTAACAGTCTCCATACAGGAAATATTTGACATTGTTTTTTATGAAGTTAGCATTACTGTTGTTTGAAATTTATAAAAAGGTTTTTTTCAAACAGTTTTTCAGGAAATTAGGCATTTTTCCTTCTCAAATCTTCTAACTATTATAGCTCCTTCTAGTAATGATGGGAGTTTCTTTACTAACCTTTTGTTTTTGGTAGTATGGAAAGTTAACATCACGAGAGATTAAATTAGATTAATTGTTAGGTTTACTGCTGGGAAAGCTGGTTCATTGGGTAATTCCAGATAATTATTCTTGTCAGAATCCAACCCTCACATTTATAAATTTATCATTCACCGTTGAATTGAATATTACTGACATATCTGGTCTGGTGTTTCTACTATATATGTCAAGATTCTTAAAATCTAAAGAAGGGTCTGTAATGTAACTGATCCAGACCTGGCATCTCGACTTCAGTCATTTTCCAGCTACTGTGACATGGCTTCCCTCTATCTTTTCTAGAAATATTTTCATGGCAATTGTTTTGATAAGCTTTCCTACTTGGTGCCCCAATTCTATGAATTTAAGTATATTACTAGATTGGCAATTAGGTCTGTATGTTTTACTGCTGATCTAGCTAGATGGAACCTTATGTTCTATTCGAAGAGTTTCTTCTCTCACACTTCTTGTCTGTGGAACTCTCTTCTGGTTTATTGCTTCCTTGGCATCTATGATCTTCAAAAATTTAAATGCAATGCCAATTATCATTTTCTGTTTTCCTGAAATATGTTCTTTTATTGTCCTTTGTCCTTACTAAAGTTTTCTCATTCTCTTTCACTCCCAGTAACCCCTTGTGTCTTAGTGGCTTTATTGCCTTGCCTGGGGTACTTATGTATATGTATGTCTAAATGCTCAGAATAGTAGTCATCTGCAAAAAATCTTGCAGAAAATTTGAAATGAATGACACAAAATATATATATATATCTACACAAGTGTGTATGTCAGGCATATGTACAAGAAATTTGTAGCTGTAGGATTTTATGATGACAGTTGGTGCCAGAGAAAAGATAGAAATCTTCCTTGCATAATCAGGCACTTTGTATAGGTATCATGTTTAACAAAGAAGAGTTGTTTGAAAATTGGTATTTGGCTTCTCATTGGCTTGCAGGACTGTGATGTCATATCCTTGTCTCTGATTGGCTTGTATGGGTATAACTTCAAGGCTTAGCAATTTACTTTGTTCAGTTTATTCGAAATTTTTGTCTATTTTGTCTAGCAATGATGAAACTTGTCTGAGTCTTCTCATTTTAGTCATCACTTTCTGTCTCTTTCCATAAAGACAACAAACATAAGATGATTGAAAGACTTGGCAAAAATTAATATTAATCCTACATAAGACAGCAGACACCAAACTGTTCCATATGATGGCCACATTGTATATTTTAATTAGATCTTTTTTGTTAATATTCTTCTTCATTCTTCTTCATGAAAGATCATGGACTTTTCCATTTTCCAATTTTCTTATGATATTTCATGTAAAAATTTAACATCATATATGCAAATATTGTGGCAATTTGAAAATACATTGCAATTATTTTCAAAGAACTCCATTGAAAATAAGTCTAGGTAAAACATTTTTATTGTTGGTTATCTTCATCGAGGAGGCACAGTGGAATAATGGATAGCAGATCGGACTGAGGAATCAGGGAGCTGAGTTCAAATTCCAGTTGAGTTCATTACATTCACTTATGTATTGATACCCTTGGAAAAGGTATGAATCCATCTGTTCTCTTCCCACTAACTATGGGTAAAATAGCAGAACAGACTGGGTCCTATAGCCTTGGGTGGCAATCAGTCTAGGAGAGGAAGCTCTGAATTCAAACCAGGTTGCACTGTCCTAAAAATGTACAACCATGCAAGTGGAGAATGCCTGTGAATCCAAATGCTCACTGAAACTCCTACTATTAGCACACCCTTGTATGCATCATTAAAAAAGGTGCCAGATGTTTTATAGGAAACGAGAGGAAAAAATTAACTAAAATGGTTTATTTGTCTTTTCTCATCAGACTAAAAGTCAAGGACAAAAAATGTGCACAACAAGTAAAAAGCTTTTTATGCAAAACAAGACTGATATGTCCTGGAAAGGGATATATTTGTTCGAAGTAGCAAAGTGGTTGTTGACTACTGTAACCAGGTAGGACAATCTAGCAGGTAATATCCATAATTTTATGGTCCTCATCATAGTGGTAGACAATTTCATAGGAAATTTCTGGGCACATAATGAGAAGACAATAGGAACTGTCGTCCATGTAAGAGAGGCAGAGTCTGTATTTATGGCTGACAAATGGCAATCAATTACTGTGAAGGGGAACCCAAAAGTATGCATATTCATTACATCAAAGAATAACATTATATACCCCCAAAAAATACCGCAACATTAAAGACTAATTAACAAATATTACAATAGCATTCATAGACTTATGAACATCATTGTGCATTATTTAAAGAAGTGAAAATGTACAAATGAAAAGATTTAAAACTGACAAAGTTTTCCATTTCACGGAAGCAGATATTAAATGCATGAGAGTTTTATTACCTCTCCTTTCTTTCTTTCTTTCTTATTATCATGTATGCCTCTTCTTTTTATAACTAAAACCAAGCATTTCAAATATATCATTTTCTTCCATCTTTCCCCACAACCAAAACAGAATGGTCCATTATTTATCTGATGTAATGACAGAATGTAACATATATGCTAACTTACTAATAGAAGAACAAACAGAATTATAATATGGTTATTTATGTATGGACTAATGTCCATCTTTGTTGCTATTAACAAAATATTTCAGCCATTACACGCTTCAGCCTTCTTCAGGAGTCTGAGTAACCTTCAGGCAATTTAATCTACAAGGAAAAATTGTTCTTGTTCTGCTGTCTATGTCTAGGGATATCTTATTTTACTCTTTTAAGTACTGCTCAGTTATTACAATGAGTCTAAGTCTGTATTGCTTGATTCAGAGGTTGAACTAACAATTACTATGCGGTCAAATTTGCAAACTAACTCTTTAATTCACTTTAGCTTAATCAAACTTTGTACTTTTACTATCCTTCCCAGTAATTGTTTTGCCATTTTGCCATTTTGCCATTTTGCCATATTCATTGTATGCCTCTGCCTCTCTTGCCTTCAGTATGTCAAGTTCAATGAGTGTCAAATTCCTTGTTATGTGTCCAGAAATTTCAGCAGAAATTGTCCTGAATTCATTGACATATAAGATGATTGATATTACATAGCAGTTCAGCACTTTTTTCTATGTTTCTGATGAAATATTTCTTAATACTTTGCTAAGCTTCTAGAAGGCATATTTCACTATTCCAGTGCACCTTGGATTTTGGTATCAAATTATCTGTTTTATATTAATTTAACACTTCCATTTTATGTTATTCTAAAACAACTTCAGATTTATCACAATTTTGAAGCATGGCTCATGATTTTCCATTTTCAACTGAGGCAAAAGAAATAGTCACCAAATTTGCTACAAATGAAGATCAGTCAGTTATGTGCCATGTGTGATGCATGCTTAGGCGATCATGTATCTTTCGATACATGACTGATGATGAGGAAATTTTTTTACCTGGTTTGGTTGCCTTTTTTTCTCCTAGACCAGTCGCCATCAAGGCTATAGAACCTGATCTGTCCTGCTATTTACCCATAGCTGGATGGTGGGGAGAACAGAGGA